ACACAGTTTGAAACACTCTTGGAATAAAATCCCCTCCCCGGCGTCAACTTGGTGCTCAAGGGGAGAGGCAGAACACAGCAAACTTGGCTCTGTTTTACCCCACGCTTTCAGGAAACTCCTCACAGTAAGGGCCAAGAGCTATGTTCATAACAAAACTTAAACCCAAGGAAAATTTATCACGTTTTTAGTTTCTTCATGAAAGGTTAGAGCAACTTGGGATGTGCTCTGCTGGGATAAAAGAAGAGGATTCTGCCCTTAAGGGCCAGTTTCACATCCACTGAAATCACATGCAAAACTCCCAGGGAAGCAAGCTTAAACTTTTAAACACTGTTGGAAAAGCAGCTACCACAGTTCTCTGTCATTCTAGTTAACCATCTATAAACAGTTACTCACTTGACCTCTATTTGATCTCTCCCTCTACCCTCCAAGGAATCTTTCAGGGCCAAAATACGTTATGGATATCTCTGCGTACCTGAATGTTGGCGGCTATTTTACTGCGATGAGAACAGATCTCTTGCAATTCTATCTGAAATCTGGTTATTTGGAGAAATTTTTTTTCTTTCTTCAGACAAATCCAACAAGTGACTTCTCTTAGTATTGATTTGTTGCAAATGCTTAATACTAAAAGTCCTGTTCACTACACATGTGATGGATGAGTTTAGAACCCTGACATGGCAGTAGGGAGGGAAAATAGTCTTAGCACTTGAAACAGGAAAGTCAGACAGGAAATATCTGTTTGAAGATATCTGAAATATCTTCAAATCACACTAGAGTTGTCCTTTCTAGCAGCTGCTTGGATGTGCAGCAAGATGGCAAAGCCTTCAAGTTTTCACCTGATAAGTAGTCTTGAGGGGAAAAAAACCATCGTGGAGGAATGTTGCAAGAATAAGGCTGCTACTAAAAAAAAGATTTCTTAAGCAAAACAAGAATGCCAGTAAGATGGAGGTAAATTAAGGGCATATAGCCAGTAACTGAAGAAAGAATTTTATATGGATGCCTTGGTTATTTATTTTTTTTTAGTATGATAAACCAAAGAATTTCAGAGTTTAGTTACAAAAAAATATAAATACATAAAAATATTGAAACACCTAAAATCTCCAAGTACTCCTAACTTTGCATGCTAACGATACCACGCAATAGTTAATACCAATTTTAACATTTTAGCTTCATTTCCTTCCCATCAGAGTATCATACTATGTGGAAATAAGCAGTTTAAGCATGTTTTAAAGACTTAATCTTGAGAAAGAAACAGAGCTGCATCTAGAGACAGGGATGCTAAACTGCTGTAGTTATTATCATGTGGGCTAGTAGATGAAGTTACAACCAGAGATAAGGTCAATTTTGTATCTTAATTGTGCAGTCCAACAGCCTAATATATATAGAATTCTTAATGTATTTATCCTTAAGTCTAGAACCTGAAATAATGTAATGTATGTTACTTGAAATGGCTGAGGTGTGCTGTTAATCTTAACTCCACTTAAACATAGATTCTGTGTGAACACTGTGGCATTTATTTACAGATAATAAGTCCAGGAAATATTAAGGAAGATCACAATCAAATAGCATTAGTGAGAAAAAGATGAAAACAAGGGTACTGTTTTCCCAACCTGAAGACATTCAGTTTAATTCTTGACTCATCAAAAATTTTCTTAACAAGTTGTGTTGTATTGGCCAGAAATAACTTGTTTTAGAAATAGTCTTTGGGGATTTAAAACAACATCAGATAATAATGATTTCATTGCTGGGTTATGCCAGTCTAAAATTCTAAGCAACAGAAATGTTGCCATCTTCTCATTTAAGAGGAAATGTAATTTGATACGAGCACACTAAAAATTTGGAATATTGTATTATTAAAAAAGGCTGTCTCAAGCTGTGTTGAAATCAACAGTGGGTCTGTTTAAGGTTTCTGAATTCATCCTTTCTTTGTTAGCATTCAGATAAAAGATTAAATTTACTGGCTATTAGGGAGTTCTGGCTGCAGCTGGTGGGGGGGGGGGGATGGAGAGAGAGAGAGAGAGAGAGGGAGAGATATTCAGTCACCCAGATCATCAAGGGCTGTAGCCTGGATTTTTTGAGCATCCAGATAAACACTGGTCAATTCTGTGGGAGTTAACATTAAGTTGAAACGAACTTTTCAGGGAATTTAACACTTAGCAAGTCATTTGACTTTCCTTTTAAATGTACAATTCGTTCAGATTTCCCTGAGTTTATAGTTGTAGTCTGGGGTGAGGGGTAAACCATGAGACCCCCACTGAGGGGGAAGGGTTTCTTTGTTTTGTTTTGTTATTTGTTGCTGGCTAAATCTTAAGCTCGGAATTGTTGTACTGCAAGCAGCAATTTGTGCTTGACGGGAATTAAAAAACAAAATCGTCGTTCATGAAACTCGCTCGGAGTTCATCCAGATGAGCTCGGTTATTGTACGGAGATCTCTTCTTCACCCCGAGAGCAGGATGACACCAGTGAAGCCGCGAAGGCAGCCCCGGTGCAGAGCTGTGGGTCGGTGCGGTTCCCCGCCCTCGCTGTCCCCGCAGCCCCTCTCCGCGCTCCGCTCTGCGGGCTCGGCTGCGCTCTGACCCAAACAATTCCCCTCCGCTTGAGGGTACCGGTGGGGCACGTCCTGTGCTGCTCCGGGAAAATCACCCTGGCAAAATGACTCCGAAGCCTGCTTTGGTGTCTTGATTTCTGCGTGGTGGAGAACACACCTGCGGGTGCGTGCGGGTGTGTGCACACGTGAGGAGGAAGGACGCGGAGCACGAAATACCAGCGGTTCTCCCGGCAGCCGTCGATGCGGGGCGGTCCAGCACGGCGGGGTGGCCTCTCTGCCCATGCTAACCTTCCGGGGACTTTACCCAACACCTGGACCCCCCACCTCCCAGCCCCACCAGGCTACCCCCTCCCAGGCCGGCTGGGAGGAGTCAGAAAGGCTATGGAGGGATGGTGCCGAGTGAGGTATCCCGGTACTCCTGTCTCCTTCTCCTCGGGAGACTTGGTCTCCCATGCAGAGGTGGCGGTGGCAGAGAGGAAGGATAGCCGAGGTGCAGGGGGACGGAGGCGTCCTCCAGCCCTAAGGAGAAGGGTGTGAACCCTGTTTGATGCTGGAGCACTCAGCTCTCCAGAGGTGTAGGGAGAGCCCTTTTATCTGTGTGCTGCGACTCCTCGAATCAGCTCTGAAGGTCTGTCCAGACATTTCCTAGGATCCAAACAGTTTTCAGCTTCAGTTGCAACACGTCTGCATGTCTGGGGATGCTGAGGGGGAGACTGCCACTCAGATTTGACTCTGATCTCGTTCCACATTCATCCAGTCTAATTAGATCCTTGGGCTGTTTTTCTCTGTGGCAATAGCAACAGCAGACAGGCGACTACTTTTAAGTGTTATTACTCTAAATAATTGAGTCTCTAAGTGTAGTGTGGACATAACAGTGTATCTACTAAGTGCAGTGTGGATGTCCCCATGTGCCAGTGATAGCACTGGTGGGACAGCAGCACTCCTAGTAGTGTTTGCAATTACGATTAGCTTCTCCTGTCCCTGCAGAGTGTCACAGCTGTCATGGCAGCAGGAGCCAGACTCACAGTGCTAGTTACAAGCATTGGCCCTTTCAGTGCATCAGGTTCCTGCACTACTGTGCTAGTTCACGTAAAAAAAAGGGGCAGAGGTGGGAATGAGATCAGTTTTAAAAAAATCAGCACTCCTTGGTAAGCAGAGACTAAGAAATACAACTGACTAGGTTTAAGGATCTGGATGTGTATGTGTCAGGGAGGGATCCTGTTCATCACCCAGTGTCACTGCAAGCATTTCCCCTGGCCTCTAGAAATAATCTCAGTAAAACAACCACAGGTTAGCACAGGTGCAATATCTGGGCTCTTGTTTCCAACCTCACGGGCTATGGTTGGGAGAGTTTGCAGTTAACCAGGATATAAAACAACTCTGCTGCTGTCTTTGGTGGCATTGTGAACTTGTCCTTTAAACAGTTCCACACCAGGATTAACTGTACCCACTTGCCTCCGCACTGTCCCAACCGAAGTTGGCTGTTTTAAAAGCAGACAAGAAGCCCAAATTCAATCAAAGCCTCGATGTTTATTTAAAGTATTTAATAGCAACAAACAGGGCCCCGTGGGCTTCGGCTGCAGACAGCGAGGACATGCTTAAGTCGATTACACTTGACAATGCTGTAATAGCTCAGGTCAAGTGACACCCCTGGGCCTCCGGGCTCTTCAGGGCTAGCAGGGTTTTCAGCCGAGGTGCCAGGGAGCCCAATGGCATCTGCAATACAAAGGAGGTGGAATGTTGGCAGCAAATGTACAGCTGGGTTCAGTTAATACAGGGAAGAAGTGGTGTTTGGGGCCAAACACGTGCAGGCAAAAACCGAAAACCTGTCTCTCTCTTTTTTACCTCCAAATGCCCACAGAAACTTCTGGGAGGATACTTCATATAAGGCGCTGGATCTTATACCCAGGCCGCCAGTGTAAATCTAGATTCGCGCCCACCAGAGAGAGTGAAGAGGAAGCTTTCTCCTCTCCCTGGTGTGAACGCTTAAGGGACGCGTCACCCCCGCTTCCCCGGCTCGAGAACCTCTGGTTCAAGAACAGCGGGGCCAGGGTGCCCAAAAAGGGCCGGGGCTGGCATAGTTTGGTGAGGAAACTTTCTCCTCCCGTCTAGGGCTGGTTGGGGTGATGGTGATCCCGTCCCCCCGCCGCAGCCCCGAGCCGCCGGGTGGGGGGGACCCCCGGGGAGCGCTCTGCCACCGCAGTCCCACGGGGGGCTCGGGGCGCAGGGCTGCGGGGGCAAAGCGCTGTGTCTGGGGGGGGGCTGCCGGAGCGGAGCGAGAAGCCCTCGCTCTTTTGGTTCCTTTCCAAGCATTTTTTAGCGGAGGAAGGATGTAATAACATGCCACGGGCAATAAATCATAGACTAGCTACTCCCCCTGGCTCCCCTCCCCCCTCCCGGCGGTCCCGGCCCCTCTATAGCGGGAGGGGCGGTGGGGCCGCCGGCAGAGCGCCGCGACCGCCGGGACGAGCAGACCAGCGCCTGCCCGCGTCCGCCAGCCGCTCCAGCATGGACCTCCGCGCCCTGGCGCTGCTCGCCTTCGCCCTGGCCGTCATCTCCCTCTCGGAGGGTAAGTGAGCTGCGGGGCCGCGCCGCTCTCCCGCCTGCTTGCCGCTGGCATCGCTCCTGCCGGCAGCCCGGCCAGGAGCGATGGTCCCGCGGAAATCCCCGCTCTTCCCCACACTCCCCGCAGCCGGCCCGCTGTCCCGGCTCGGGCTCCGACCGCGGCTCAGATGTGCGCGTCTGGCGAGCCCGAGCGATGGCTGTGGTAAGCTGGAAGCGGGCAGGTTCCCATCCCTCCCTCCCCTCCATCCCTCCCTGGCTTTTTTCAAAAAGCTGGCCAAAGCGGTCCTCTCTGCCAAACTCGCCCCAGATTGAAATCGTCTGGGGTAAGACTTTCAGCAGCGCTCGGTCTGCAGGGAGGTGGTTTGGCTGCAAAATATGCATATCGACTTTCCCTTTAGAAAAACCCAACCCTTAAAGTTACAAGAAATTAGAAACAGGCGGTTGTTCAATTCCTTTTCTGTCTTCTGTCGTGATCTATCTTCCCTCAATCAGTGCAGAGCTGAGCCAAAGCGGTCACTCGGCAGGAATTTACCGCGCCCCCGGCGCGGGTGCACGGGGAGGTTTCGGGGGGCGCAGGGATCTTCAGTGACGAGGGGTCTGGGGGATCGCGGGCTGGTGGCCGGCACTGCTTTTGGTCTCGAAGGCAGCGGCCCCCACAGTCATCCTTCCCGCACCGCAGCGCCGTCTCACAGCCCGATCGCCCCACACCAGTCCCCGCGGTCCCGCGTGTCTACCCCGAAGCCCGGCCACAGCTGCAGCTTCCCGGCTTGCTTGCCGGCTGCAGTCCGTGGGAGCCGCCGGGTTCGGACAGCCCCGGAGACCGCGGCAACCCGCGCTTCTTGCTCCACATCCCGCGAGGAGCCCTGTACCCTGGGGCTGCGGGGGAGCGGAGACCGCGCGGGTCAGCCGCACTCCCCACGCGTGGAGGGGAGAGGGTCCTGCCCTCAACCTCTGGGCATGTCCCGGACGTTCTTCTTGCGTCTGGCTTCTTGCCTGGCAGAGATTTGCCACCACTTGTCCCTTCATCGAAACCTCGCTGGCTGGGTAAATAGGCGCTTTTTCAAACTTTCGCTCCCGTCCTATTCTCCCATTCTGTCGACCGAAACTTGGGTGTTCCCGACCCAGGGCGGCCGAGGATGCCCTCCGGTGCCCTCTTTGTTTAGCCTGAGAGAGTTAATTGCTCCCGAATATTTCCCCAATGCCTTTCCACAGTACGAATATTTCCCCAATGCCTTTCCACAGTACTGTCCCCGCAACAGCCCCGTCCCGGTGGAGCACGGAGGGCACTGTCCAGCGAGCCGGCCCAGCCCAGGTGGGCTCCGGCCCGCGCCGCGTTAACCGGGATCCACCACCCTGGGGCTGCGGACTGGGAGGCGAGCGGCAGGCAGCGAAGACAGATGCGGGGGACCACGATTGGCAATGCCAGCCCCGACGAGTGCATGGGAGTAGGGGACCGGGGGCTCAGGAGCTCTCCCTCTCCTCCTTCCTTCTGGCAGCGCTTGGCTCAGGGTTGGGGGGCCCACAGAGCTGCCCGGCTGCACCTCGGTTCACTCCTAGCGCGGCTGCACTCCCTTGCTGGCAGCGAGCGACAGCGGGTATCTTTATAGGGGGTAAGCGTGTGGGGACATGGCTACCTGAGTAAGGAAAAGAGCTGGAGAGAAACTAGCGTAAGGACAGTGACCCCAACCGTCTTGCAGCGATAAGAGAGGTTTTTTGCCTATTTCTTTGGATGTCGTATAGTGCTCTCAACCCTGATCCAGATGAGGTCTTGCAGGGCTTCCTTGTACTGGAAGGTAGGTGAGCTCTTGAATTCTTCCTAGTCATCTGGTAAAGTTCTATCTGCCTATCCTAGCTTTGCTTTCCAGGGAAATGGAGCTGTTCTAGACTTAAAAAGTTACCATCCATCTCCTGATAATGACAAATGCATCCTAAACTGAACAGAAGTAAAATGATGCTTCCATCAAATATTTTGTCTGTTCATGTCCAGCCTCCTTACCTGGATATAGCTTCCCTCTCTATTCAACCATCCAGAGCTTCGTAGCCCACACAGCAAGTTACTGACTTTGCAGAACTGGCAACTCACTTCTTCCCTTGCTGTCCAGTTTCAGTGTGGGTGAACAGAAGCAGATCCCTATGGGGTGAAATAGGTGTCATCCAACATTGACAAGTCACCACTCTGTGAGAGGGTTTTGTGTGTGCTTTCTGGAAAGAATTTGCCAGTAAAGGTGGGAGTTCAGAGCCAGTGAAACTCGAATTTGGGTTAGAAAGCAATAAAACTATTTATTATTTTTGAAAAGCCCAAACCCAAAACCCTTTCAAACTCTTGTAGTCAAGGTCAAAAGAAGTTCTTTTTTTCTTCTCATCTAAGTAAAATTAGGCTGAAGGAATGACATTGAGATGTCTGACTAGCATCTGGTTTTTCTGTAACTTTTGACTATATTCTACCATTTTAACTGAATGTGCCAGACAGATAAAGGTCTCAAAAGCTTTATGTACCGTCAGCTTTCATTTTGCATGAAAACTGATGTTTTCATCTAACAGAGCAATTAACAGACTATATTAATTTGCCCCACTGTGAGAATGGCTTCAGCTTGTGCTCAGTGTTTGTTAGACATCAGAGAACTCCCATAGCATTAACACTTGCAGTACAAGTGTAGATGTTTAGGATAGTCCCGCTTGTAGCAAATGTGGGTAGAGTCCTTCCCAAATCTTCGTTCTTGAAGCCTAGCCATGATGATGATGATGACACGTGTAGAATAATTAATGGGCTTAACCAGCTCTAATGTGCATGGAACAAAATGTTTCAAATTTTGAAATGAAACAGGGAATGTGTTTGTCAGCCTCAAAGTAAGACCAGAAATGTCTCCATCCTAAATTATGGCCCCCAAATGGCCCCTTCCCCCTCCTACTTTAGGAAGATAGGGGTTCATGTCTTGGGAGATGCCACATGCACTAGTTTTCCCTGTTTTTCAGCCTTGAGAGCACAGTGAACCAAGGGACGGTGGCAGGAGATACTAGTTCCCTCTTAGTGGTACAGAGAGCTGACCTGATTGGTGCCTATACTGATGCTCCCTGGTGCTCAATGCCTGTTGCTGATCATCACCAAGCAAAGGGATTCTTGTGCTGGGGGGGATTTGTCACTGAACACTGAATGCTAGGACTTCTCTTCTTCCTTGCTGTGCTGGATGCCTTTTCTTGGGCCAGAAACAACTTTAGGACTTACAGACATGTTAGTCATGGTTAAACTTTCTCTGCTCCTGATTTCAAGTGGTATGGGATTGAAAATCCCGCCTTGAGTCTCAGAGAGGACAGGATTACATTATCAAATCGTAGATCTGAACAGTTCATCTCTTGCATGTTGTTTGGGTTAAAGCTTGCTTAAACTTGGTTGGTACAAGCTTGCAGAGACAGTGTCACTGCAACTGTGCTGAGTGGTGTGTTGTATGACTGTATTGTTTCAGCCTCCCTTTCCAATACAAGCTCAAAGATGTGTAGCTATCAGGCACAGATTTGCAGTGGAAAATCCTAGTGTCTTCCTCACTCCCTTTCACATTAGCACTAGCCAGTCTAAGACATGTTCTCAACGTTCACCCTGTAGCCCTCCTTCCTCCTCCCCCTGCAGATGGGAGCTTCTCCTCCCTTTTATTAAGTCCTAGATGGGATCACTGATAGAAAAGTCCTTCAATTTTCTTAACCCAGATTCTGGTGTGAATCTAGAGGAGCTCTACTCCCACTGATTAATTTCTCTCATATGGTGTCTGATTCTGGTTTATCGCTTGGTAGAGGCACTTGGAAAAAAGGGTTTCCCTCCTGAGGACAGGAAAATTTCACCCTGTTGTCTATGGTTATGTGTGCTAGAGACAGGCATCGATAAATGTGCGATCAGTTACCCTTTGAAAGCTGTTTCTTTTCTCACCTTCCTAGACAGCTGTTTAGAGATTCCAAGCCTGTCTCTGCTCTTTAGCTCCCCATCTGCCTTTAAGGGAACTGGATTTGGATGCTGCAAGTAATCCTGTGTGGCTAAACAAACAGGGCCCCAGATTGCCATGTGGTATCTCAAACCCTGTCAGATATAGATCTGACCATCTACAGCATGAGCCAGACCTCCAGGGTTAGGTATATGAATTTAATTCCTCCCAGAGACTGAGAACTGCTCCACTGGGAAATTGTTTAAAATCTTAGACATCTCCTCCTAGACTTCCAGGCAAGACTTCTGTGTTTGTATTTTATTGCACTTGGAGCTTTGAAACTTAGAGTGAGGACCTTACTCATGTGCACTTCGTTGCCAGTAATCAAGTACTCCCTTGGACAAATCGGGTAGCAGAGGCTGTAGTGGGCTCCAGGCTTCTCATGTATATGCATGCATATACATGGCTGATTTTTAGCCTAGGGCGTTAAACCTAATTCTGTCCCTAATGATGCCAGTGACAGAACTCTCCTCCAGTCCGGTGGCCCCAGAATAGTGTATTTAGGGCGCCCTGCCTGATAACTGTCTCCTCGATTGCTGTTATTTAGCCACAGGCTGGAAATTCAAAAGACTCAAAATCTCTTCTGTAAAACCGCTTGGATCTCACACCTCTGAGCCTCACCTTCTTGTGCCTGTACCTCGGTTGGGAGTCAGAGCTGGCAGCAGTGGGGAAAGGTCAGCTGGGCCCTGGGAACGCCTGCAAAACCGGGGTTTTTCTGTAGCCAGTAAGTCCCCTGTGAAAAGCCTGCACCTGAGCCGAGCCGTTTTGATCTGAACTCTTTGGAATTCACCGCTTTCTTCTGGCTACCTTCTAATTTGGCCTCGGGTCAAAATCGTTTGAGTAGAACAACACTGAGGACAAGTGCCCCCTCTTTTGGCCTTTATCTTGTCTAATTACCAGGAGCATCCCTGCACAATGGAGCGGCTCCTTATTCTAATCTCTTCTACTTTACTTATCTTCATTTTCTTTCCCGCTTCTTTTGTCTTTCAAAATCCCACGCACTGTTATTGAAAGGCTGGACACTGGGCTAAAAGGATTGTGCTCTGAGCTGTGAGCAAATGCTCTCCCAAAGTTACAGCTTTTCTACTGCTGTTTTTTCACCTGCATATTTGGAGGGAGTTCCTTTCTGTCGGCCCTGATCTGTGTATCTGTGCTGCTGACTGGGAGCAAGAGGGAGTAACGTGTCCTTTCCCTCCCTTTGTCTCACAGAGAAACCCGTCAGCCTGACTTACCGATGTCCCTGTCGATTCTACGAGAGCAACGTGGCAAGAGCCAACATTAAGCACCTCAAAATCCTCTCCACACCTAACTGCTCACTTCAGATTGTGTAAGTCTTTTTTCATCTGGGTGCAAATCTCGGGTGTCAAAAAGAAGAGTCACAGAGCTGGTGCCTGCTCTGGTAGTTGCGTTTCAGTCCGTCTCATCCCATGATTCTGAATTCATCTCTTCACCCCATATGTCAGATACAGCTGGACTCTGCTTTACCCCACATAAAGGAGCCCAGCTGGATGTTTCTCAGCTGTGTTCTATCTCTGTGATCTCCCTGTGACTCCGTGATCCCCTGTCCTGTTCCCCCGTGGGTATGTGAGCAGCAGTGTCAGACAGGCTGTCCATTGCCTTCAATGTGGAGCTTCACACCTTGGGGTAAAGACTTTACAGTAGGGTCTGAGTCTTCTAATTTTTCACTTCACCATAGAGTGGAGCTAAACAAGCAGAAGGAATTCCTGTATTTCATGTATCCTCCACAGGAGGCACAGACCCTAAATATGTGATGGCCTGATCTAGGAACACTTAACAGACAGTGACTGTCTCAGTAAATTCAAACTGGATAGAAATTATGGCTTCCCAATTGAAAATAACCTCTTCATTTTTGCTGAAAAAGAAACCCTGGTTTTCAGGGAAAATGGGGGGTTTTCTGTTTGCTTTTGTAGATTCGTGTGTGTATGTGTGTTTTAGGAAAGGTTTTTTGGTTCATGGGTGACCCCCTTCCTCCCCTCCCAGAATTAAAAATCTTTAGAAGAGAAATAACATTCATCTTTTCATAGCATGAGAGCTTTACTACTATCAACTTCTCTTGACCTCTGTAAGAGGGTGTCAGTGACTAGATTTGTTGTCTGTGCAGTCCCATTACTAGTTCGGTCTTTGACCCATGTGTTGAGCCCTTCCTCTTGCCACTCAAATGCTGTAAAAATCCATTTTTGTCATCCAAAACATTTCTTCACTCAGAAAACTGGTGTGGTTTTCATGAGATTTCTCAGGAATGTGTATGAGTGTGTATCCATTCATGAAACAGTTTTTATTTATGATTTTTTTTTCTGTTTTAAACCACTTTGGATATATCATACACATTTTATCATGTGTGCTTCTGCCTTAGGATTTGGTGGAGGACAGTGAGAAAAATGTAAGCCTCAGCTGAGAAATAATTTCCTTTCACAGAAATGGCAAAACCAGCTGTGACTAACTCCAATCTCTACCTATAAACAATTTTGGAGGCAAGCATCCAAAATGCAAGAGTGTGTGGATTTGTGCTCTGGGACTGTCAGTGGATGTCATAAGGGTCCCAGTGCTAAGGCTTTGTAGAGGATTTTGAATTTTTTGGAGTAATTTCAAGAAAATGACAGCATTTAAGAGAGGATAGAGTATATACTTATCTCCTAATTAATGTAGGATTCTAGTCAATAAAGATAGATAAGAGTACGAAATACGGAAACAGAATCATCTCATATTCTTGTCCATTCCTGCCCCAAATGTGTTTTTCTGTGGTACACAGAACACATGAACCTGTAGTTTACCATCTTTTTGTTACTTTAAAAAGTAAGGTACTTAAAAACCTCCCTCCAAATACTCTTGAAACATGAGTTTGAACTAGGTCTTTATCAAAACAGGAGGTAAAATATAATCAAAACTAACATATGAATTTCTCATCTTGATGGTTTTAAGCATTATACAGTAAAGGTGTAAATAAATAAAAACTTACTGTTTTCAGGAATAGAGAATCTAAGTGACACATATAGTTGCCAAGAAATATTTTATGGTTTGTTTTTGGTTGTTTTTTGTTTTGTTTTTGTTTGGGGGGGGGTTGTTTGGTTGGTTTTGGGTTTTTTTGGTTGTGTTTTTGTGGTTTTTTGTTGTTTTGTTTTGTTTTTCTTTTGTTTTGGGGTGGTTTTTTGTTTGGGTTTTTTTGTGTGTTTTTTTTGTTTTTGTTTGTTTATTTGTTTTGTTTTTTGCACAAATACATTTTCCTTTTTGGTTGAGGGGAATTGTACCTGAAAAAAAGTCTTAAGAGCAGGTTTTTGTCTTCCATTCTATCAGAAGTCATCTCTCCAAATCCAGGGAACTCCTCTGTCAATATGTACTTCTACAAAGCCCACACTAAATTCCTTGCTTTTCAGTGCAGGGAAATAAGCATTTTTAGCATGCAATTAATTGCATTAAGTAGACACCTAAACCAGTCCAAGTTAAATACTCCATACAGTTGCCTACATCTCTTCTGTGACTGCACAGGGAGCAGGGGCTGACAGGCTCAGAAATAAATGTCTAAAGAAGTCAATGTCTTACTATTAGGTGAGAGGTAATATTAGGTGAGAGAGATTGTGTTGTATGTGGCTGGAGACTGGTTACGTGTGCTTTTGATTCTGTGTCCTGTGAGGCCAAGAATTCCCAGGCATTGCTAACATCAGCAAATCCATTCTTGCACTCTGTTGGTATCACTTCACTGGAAATGCTCCAGCTTGGCACTGCTGTAAGGGAAATATGAATTAAGCTCATTCATCTCTTTATTGGCGCAGGGATTGCAAAACGGATCTTCGATGTGTTTATGTTACAACTGTGTTGTTGCATAACTTCAGACCAAGGAGCCTTTTTGACCTGTTATTTCTTATACCATAGTTTTATATTCTGCAGATTTCATTTTATAAAGTGAGGAACATTTTGGCTCCCATCCAGAAAAATGTTTAAGCAAGTACTGAACTTATTCGTATGGGCATTTCCATAAAATTGCTGTTCTTTGCACTTTTCCATGGCAGGCAGGCTGTTTAAAGGGGAAATTTTTGAGCAGCTGGGGCAGAGGCAGGGTGCTGCAGGGAAGGCGGGAGATAACAGCACTCAAGAGGCTCTGAGATCCCTGGAGGGCGAGACCTGCTGGTGAAAAGCTATTTGTCCTGCTTCTGAATGAAAGGTGCAGATAAGCACAAATTCAAGGCTGAATTCAGATTAGCTAAACAGTCTGGTGTGGGTAGTGCAGCTTGGACATCCAGGAGAACCCCCTCAGGAAGTTTCTGCCTTTGTTTCTAGTGCTGAGTGAATACATGAGGGGAAACCTGCCTCTGGCACTATGATACTTACAGTTGTCTTCCTGATTGCAACCTGTTAGTTCAGTCTTAGTGTAATACAAAAAGCTAACAGGTGACCAGACCCTTTCTTTCAGAAAACTCAAGAGGTATGGTTTCATGTCTGTCCTCAAAACCCGTGAAACTTCAGTTTTGGGTTGAGTCTGAAAGCTGTTCTTAATCAATTCCTTACAAAAATTACCTAAATTTACCATGTCAGTATTTCCAAATGAAATTTCTCCTGTTGTTGGCACTGAACAGCCCAGGTATGAATTGGAAATCCTAAATTCAAATTCTGTATTTGTCCCACTCTCGCATGATTCCCACTAGAGACCACAAGAGCCAGCATCGAAGGAGACAGGTGGTGCCAGTGCTTCCAAACCAGTGATATTTATAAAATGTATCTTGAGGGTGGGTTAACCGAGAGCAGCACTGGCACCCAAGGAAAATAAGGCACCCAGGGGTGGGTGGTTGGTGTGACTGAGGAGTGTTGCACATCAGACTCACTCTGACTTTTCTTCTTTGGCAGTGCAAGGCTCAAGAGCAACAGCAAGCAAGTATGCATTGATCCCAAGTTAAAGTGGATCCAGGAATATCTGGAGAAGGCTTTAAACAAGTAAGGCAAGACACAAATGGACTTAACAGCTAACATCCTGAGTTATTAAAGGGTAGAACATTAAGGGCTGGCTTTTACCATGTGGACAAAGTACTTGTGAAATCAGATATTGTTTTGAAGAAGGGTTTGGAATTGACCTAATTTGTATTAAAACAACAGCTTCTAGTATATCCTAGATGTTAAACTAAGAATTTTGCCAGGGTTTGAGGCAAAATCAATGCCAATGAATATGTTCTGGGGTCCCAAACTCATCCTCTTTTTAAAAAAAAGCCGTTCTCCCAAGGAAAATTCTTCCTTTATGCCCCCTCCTCCCCAAGCCAAACTACAATTCCTTCAGAATCTATATCGTTCCAGTGTCTTTGGAGCCCCTTCTCCATGTTATACCAGGACTCTGGTTGCACAGGCAGCTGAGGCCTAGGGCACTAAAAATTGTCTCTCTGCTGGCCAGTGTGGAGTGCTAATAATGTCAGCTGAGGCGAGATGTGCTGACACGAATAAGGCTTTCCCATAAGGCCAGAGGCAAACCAGCCAAACTTGGTAAATTCAGACTCTTTAAATCTGTTTTTATTACCCTCGAAAGTGGTTGATCATGTCTACTTGGAGGTGGACTCAGTCCATATCCGTTCAATTTTACATCAAGAAAGAAAGAGCAGCACAGAGCAAATTTCCATGTTGAGCTGCAGGGGAGGGCTCCAGCCTTCCAGGTTTAGAAGATGAGACAGGTGATGGTACAAAGCATTTCCTTACTTTTAATCTAGCAGGGCTGCTGTTGATTCAGCAGCAACATTTTGGCCAGCAAGCCTACCTGTGCACTCAGTATCCCTCTCACCCTTGCCCACCACATTCCCACCCCTCAGTAACTGCGCTGTAACCCTGCTAAACCATCCCTCCTGCATCTGTGGGGTGAAGGCAGGGCTGGAATCCAGCAATTTGCAAAAGCAATGCTTTATTGGGGAAGGTATGGCCCCAGGGCAGATGTGAGGCACAGGTAGCTGAATGCCCTCCACTGTTTGCTTTGTAAATGCATCTGCCAAACAAGGGGTAGAGTTAAAAAAAAATAAAATTCTTTGTCATCCTCCCCCACACACACCCTGTGTTCTTACAATAAGCAAGGGGGAAAAACACTACCAGAAGTAGAGAGATCCCTCCATGTGTCCCTTTAATCACCACACTGGGGCCAAGAGTGAGGAGGAAGAAGGAAAGAAGCCTGTGATTCCAGCCCTGACAGCTCCTCCCATCTCATCCAATGCTCAGTGCCTTCTATGCTGCCACCACTCAGCCCTTTTGTCCTTTGGACAAATTCTCTGTAGAAGTAATCCAGGTTAATGCTGCCAGGATGGCTTTGGGTTTAGATACAACTGAACCTAAGAGTAGGATGTGGCTCATGCTGACTATCCTAGGGACTTGAGCTACTCTGTTTTACAAGTTGGGAAAGTCCTCAAGCTCCTGCTTGAGCTTCTGTTTGCTGTCATCCCCAACCTGAAACTTAGGAGGCACTTTAGAAATGTGTAGGGTTGGGCAAATGTGATTGTGTGCCTGTCTGACTTAGGGGAACAACTCAGCTGGAACACGATCTGCTCTCACTTCCACTAGCGAAGTTGTGGGGCCGGCTCTACTGAAACCAATGAGTCTGCCTGATCTCCAGCCAGATTCTGGGTTTTGTTTACCTAATGCTAATAGAAAAGCAATTCTGCTAATTTGGTGTATTTCATCCTGGTTTACACTGAGTAACAAAAGAGAATTTGGTCCCAGCTCTATGAAATGACAGAAAACATATATCTCCATCACCTAATCCTGTAATCATTGCATTGTTTTCATTTTCCAACTAGTAATGCTAGCACCAGTGGCATTTTCATGCTCCGCAGACAGTCAGGGCTCTGTCTGTAGCATTTTCACAAGGCATGTTTTTGATATATTTTAGTGCACAGCTTTGACTTCTTCTGAAACGTACTTCGGAATATATTTATAGTGCATCAAATAATTCATATATTTGAATTGGAGCCATATGAATGTTGGTAGTTTAAAACACCGATATCCCTCTAAACTACTAACAGCTTGTAAAATGAATCTATATAGATCTATAAATGTTAATGTAGCTATCAGTTTCAATCAGCCATATATTATATTTTTTCACTTGTACTGAAATTGTATTAAATGTGACATTACCCTATATGCACTAGCAATAAAATGGCTAATTGTTTCATGTTATGAAAACCCAATTGTACATGGGAATTTATTTTTCTGGAATAAAATCAATACGTTTTGTAGAAAGGGCTCTTGTAATTGTTTAAGTAGAATCCAAACTGTGAAGACATCTTAATCTATACCATCACTTCAATATGAGAATATCTTCAGTGTTATAATCTGAAGCTAAGGGCAAGGAAAAGCTCCTAGAATAGTAATCCAATAAAGCTAATTGTGAAACCAGAGATGGTTTCTAGTAGGGAATTATTTTGCTCACTAATTCTGCTTAGGCTTTATTATTGCTTTATATTCATCACATCTCCATGTAATATACACACTCATGAGACATCAGTAAAATATATTCAGGCTGTCAAGAATTCAAATTCCTTAACTGGCTTTAAAAACCATTGAACAGCTGCTGTGGCCAACATCATTCAACATTCATCCATTTTACAGACAAGGGGCAAATCAGTCCTTTCTTGAAATAGCTAACAAATCCTCTATCACTTCCAGGCAATCCTAGTCATCATTTACAGTGCATTGACTCCCTTTCCCTTCTCCCTTTGTAAATGGATAATGCAAAATCAGGTCCTTACAGAGTTAACAGAGCCCAAAATAAACAGAGACCATGTTGTCCACTGTCATGTTAATATAGTCCCACTGCAGAACTTCCCTCAGTCCAAGATGTGGAATCCATTAAACTCAGCCACTACTGTAGGTGCAGAGAAGAGAGCTGATGGATTTGGAGAAGATAACAAAGTCACATGGGAAAAACCTTTGCTGGGAGAAAGGAATGGAAACTCTCAGCGCTACATTGTGTTGGTAAACCCCAGTGTGGCAGTTCTTCCTAATTTCTGACCTCATTTGTAAATAAGGCCTGGAGTCCAAGATGCCAGAACAACAACCTCCCAGAACTCCACCAAGTGTGTGTGGGGTGAAGGCCCCACATAGAGGGGGACAATGTTGGTGACTGTCTTTATAGCCTTGTTTTAAGGCACTGAATGCCCGCAAATCTCCTTAGAGTAGCCATTGGTTCTTGCTGATGCATTTGGGGAGGGTTAGGAATTTTGGGTAAAAGGGTTGTTCCGGCCTTAGAGTTTTCAAATGTCCTGCCACCAGGGCACCTTCGTTTGCCTAGCATTCCTATGAGGCAGAGGGTATATGAAAGGGGATATTATCATCATTTGCACCCCATCAGCAAGATACGAAAGGACCATAGGATAAATGTGAATAAGGCCTTTGTATATGGATAATTTATGGCAGTCTTTTTTGTATTTTTCTTTTAATTTAGACCACGTCATCGCACTCATAAAAAAAAGCAACAGAAGAAACGGGGCCCCCTCTGCCCTTCCCGTGCAACATCACTAAAGTCTCCAGGGAGAAAGAATGGTAGGAAGCATTAGTTTCTGAGCTGGGATACTTCAGGTTCAAATCCCTGCTCTTCCATTGATCATCATATGGGATCTTGGGCAAATATATTAGCTTATCCAGACCTCCATTTCCCCTTATATTTGTTGAAAATGACATCTCTACCTCTCCTGCAAAGGAATATTATATAGATAAAACTCTGAAAAACAAGGGGAAATTTTAGCCACAACAGATGTGGGAAAATTTTCCCATTTTACAGTGGGAAAATGGACACACAAAGAGGCCAAAATAACACTGAAAAGTCAAAGTCAAAACCAGGGTAAAGGTTTGGGAGCTCTGTTTCTTTTAGGTCCAGTATCAAACTGACAGAGTTTAAATATAAATAATAGCTATGAATTTGCTACTGGTGTTTCTTAATGACAAAAGCAGCACCACATGGTGACAACATGATTTGGTGCATGGGTTGATACCTTTCCTATGGGAGATGCTAGGCAAGTCCCAGAGAATGGTATTAAATATACCAGTGCTCTGGATGTCCCAGTTGTTTTTTATTATCTCACCAAAGTGGTTTGTCCTGCCTTTATGCACCAAAAGAAGTAGGGTTACTGCTGTGGGATATTGGAAAAGATATCTTCAAAGAGGAAAATTTTCCTCATGGCTTACTCGTTTTTTGTACCTGGATGAGTTTTCTGAGACTACTTTTACTAGGAGTAGCCACAACTGTCTCTGGCTGTGATCACACAGACTTAGTTGTCCAGCAGACATTGAAAGGGATGTTTGACAAGACATGCTGGGACACCAGAGTTTTTGAATACCTGGTTTTTACCCTCTGACACTTGTAACTCAGCCTTAGTTACCTCATGTAGATTGCAAAAGGTTGATCAGCCTGGAGCAGGAGTAGGGGTCACTTCACAAAAAACCTGGAGGCCACCGATACAAACTGCCTCCTTGTTCTGAGTGCACAAGACACTTGTACAACTTGCCTAACCCGCACTCTCCTGGGTGCCATGCTCACACTGAGACTGGGAGACTCAATGTGTGTGCATCCCACCCTGAGCTGCCAACCTCAGCACCTCAGGCCTCACACATTTACTGTGCAGCACGTGGCTGCCTACCCTCCCTGTCACCCCACCTTCATTGGGCGGCTGTCACCACAAGCTCTGCTGTGCTCCCCAGCTGTTTACAGAGGGAGAGTCCCAGAGCAGGGAGGCCATGGGGATGGCTCCTGGATGGGTAGCACACTTTGTGCCTCTGCTGTCCAATCACCTCATGGTGGAAGCCAAACACCAAGAGCAGAGCACAGGCTGCCTTCTGTGTTTTTCAATCCTCAAGAGACCTGGCACTCTCTGGAGCTGCAACCTGTGATCTCCATCAGTTGTGGGCTAGGGGCAGGTAGAGGAGGCATTCCCAGTGCCACTTGCTCCACTACTGGGGCTGCTCACAAATGATTAATCCCTCCTTTCCCTGCTGTTGTTTTTTTTTTTTTTTTTGCTGAGTTTCTTTGCCCACTGATAATTCTCTTCTCTGGCTTTCAAGTCCAGAATAAGCTTTCTAGCCAGCCTTCCTCCTATGTTAGTCCTGAACACCTTACTAACTGTTATGAGCACAACCTGCCCAAAATAACACCCGTTGCTGGGTTTACCCTGTTGAGTCTCAGTAGCTCTTTGTGGAGAACTTCTCCCAAAATGTTCAGCAAATACTAGTTGGAGGGGCTACAAAAGAAATGCCTTTGGGTTAGTCCAAACACAGATTTGCTGTTTGACTAGGCCTGATATCAAAGCTCTTGCAACTGAAATAAACCTTAATAGTGTTTCACTCTGTTCTTCATCAACAGGAGGTTCAAGATGTAAGAGGCAAGCATTGTAAGCCGGCTACAGGATTTCTTACTGTAGGACCCAGAGAGCAGATAACCAGTATTAGGGAATGAATACATTTTACTGTTATCATGCAGCACAAAAGCAACGCTTCACGCATTTCCAAAGGGTTTTTTTTTTTCTTGTTTGGGTTTTTTTCCCCCCTTGCACAAATTGACTTGCTTTCACAGTGCTATTTTTATATAGTTAAGATGTAACTATTTGAAAAAAATATGTTTTTTACACGTTGGTTTATTACCTAGCACTGGGGGCAGATACCAATTTAAACTAACCCTATGTTATATAATATTTTATTACCTTTGTTATGTAAAGGTCATGCTTTATTTAACTTTCTTTTGGTTCATGCAAGTCTCCTGGAGTTTTAAACCGAGAAGGACATGAACTGTACAGTGCAATGATGTTGTGTGTAAGTAGTGGAGGAACTCCTTGCCTCCAGAAGTCACAGAGGCCAAGAACATAGGAAGGCTAAAAAAGCATCAGATAAAAGTAGACAGCATTACCCTGGGTGGCATTTGGGGTGAGGGATTAAACTCAGGGCTGGAGGGCTAAAACCCTTCTCTGAAGATCAGAAACTTTGGTCACAGCTGTGAGCAGCTGAGCCAATGCACGTTTGGTATTGCAAGGTGCTAGTACTTGGTTTGTAGTAGTTGTGTGTGTTAGGAGCCACAACAGCAATCTGATGTCATCTGGTATTTCCTATGTTCCTGTGTTTCTGATGACAAATTTAGCAAAAGAAGAAGGAATGGGTTATTAAAGCTCTAAGCACACGACCATGTTGCAAGTCACCAGAGAAGTCAGATATGCTGCCATGCACCAGGTATCTCTTCCCACCCATCCACAGGAGGTGACTTCAGCTTGCCTGGGTGGTTTTGCACTGAAGTAGGCTGAGATGCATTCACCCTTCGCCAGTGATGCTGTAGGTCTGCTACTGAACAGTCACACCTCCCTGAGGGCAGTCACATCTTTGATTGCTCTGGAGATGCGCACAAGAGGATATCTGGAAAGGATATCAGAAGAGGATATCTGAATATCTTTGGAAAAAAAGAGATGCCTGGGGCAAGAGAGGGTCTGTCCAGTTTTTGGAAGGAGTGGTATTTCTTGGGTGTGGAAATGAAGGCCAACACTCACTGTTCACCAGCAGTCATGGCCTCATTTGCTGGTGAACAGGATGGCCTCTGGAATTTCCTTTGCAAAGTACAGCTGGGGACAGGCACCACTCCTTGCACCAATCCCTCTCTAAGCTAGAAATTTCTTTTTCCTGGTTCCTGCCTGTATACACAATATCTGTTATATAGTGTATGGAAAGACACCTGCAGCACTGATAATGATGTTATGGTGTGCACTGGGATCTGGGGGGAAGCACATTAGTGCAGCACAATGCTTGTGTTTGTATGTATCTGTGTCTGTATTGTAAACAAAAAAATGTTGTAAGATTGTCTTTTTTAGTGAGCTGGTTGCTTCAAAAGGAATCTTCCCTCTTCCCTGCGAACACAAAGAAGTGTTTCACTAAGCACTCCTTTTTTGTGGTAGGCATCTTTAATGCCAAAGTGTCACTTTGGCTAGCCAGGGACTACCTTATTTCCATGTGGATTCAGGTAAAAATCTTGTAAGTATTTTCCTCTCTGCAAAACAGGGCTATTGCAGAGAGTCCTTCAGCTGGGACCACATCACCTCATTTGCTTTAAAGCAGAAACCAACTGCTGTGCCTAAAATGTTTGTGTGTGTGATTTTGACATTCCTTCTCTTGTCATCATACCAACCTGGTGCTTAAGTATTTTTTGTCTGTTTTGAAAGGTCTGGTACCACTGTATATGACGAGAATTGGAGTGTTGATTTAGTATGAGTATGATCAGATCCTCTCTTTAAAGGCTAAAGACAGAAAGAAATTTTATGAGAAAACCAGAGTTTCTAGTATCCTCCCTGGAACTATACTTTATATCATAGGGTCCATCTCCTGTCCCACATATGCACCTGCAATTGCCAGTGGTTTGTGAGAGGCAGACTCGTGAGTGTCATGGCCAAGAATGACTGCAGGGAAAGTGTGCAAGAATCTTGGTTTTGACATAGACACCGAACTTCTCCTTCTCACCCAGGAAGGTGCACTCTTCACACATAATTCCAATCAAAGGACAGCTTGAGGTCTGATTCATTCCCATTGGAGTAAATGGAGACTTAAATAATTCTCTGATTTTGATTCAGCAGCGTATCTTGCTAATGATAATAGGGGCCATGACCATTTTTTTTCTGGGGGAAACACTGGCTTTCTGGTGAGAAGATGAGTGGGTAGATGTGACTGTACAGCTTTGCCAGCGCTCTGCTGCGGTCCTTGTTAACGGGGAGTGGATCTGGGGTCAGCACCATCAGGGAAAGGCCCCTGGGAACATTACAGCCTGGGCAAACAGACTGCTTTGACAGGAGCATTGAGATGGGCAGTGCTGAAGCACCCCAGCCAAACCCCAGGGTCCCAGCTCTGGACAGTGTAGCCAGGTAGAGGAGATACAGCAGGAAAGGGGGTGACCTGTCAACCTTCTCTTCTGGGTGCAAACCAGTGAGTGCTGCAGGGGTAGACTGTGCTAAATGAAGGGCATTAGCTCCTGGGAGAAGTGCATGAGTAGCAGCAGGAAGGAAAGGCACTCCATGCAAGGCTGGAAAACATTTACAGCCAGGTGATGATTGTCTGGGTGCCTTGTGGGCCATCTGCCCCTGACATTTCTTGAGACCCACACAGTGACCTGGGCCCTGACACCTCTGTGCTGGTGACGCTTCACTACTAACATAGCTGAGACCACTCAGGGCGTGGGGCTGGCTCTCGGGGGCCAGCACCATGTCCCTCTCTCACCTGGGCAAGGTTGAGCACAGCATGAATGCAGACGTGGCACAGACCTGGGCAGAGACTTAAATGAGAATCTGCTAAAAGCTTTCTCTTGCTTTAGACCAAAATTCAACCTTGAGTGGGAAGCTTTGCTCTGTGCCTGACATTATTTGCGTGATGCGTTGGGAAGAACAGCCATGCTCTTCACTCTGGAGAAATCAGTTACTGGGCTGCCCCAGTGCACCACATGTCATTCCTTCCCTACACCATGACTGGAGCAGGCTGAGAAGCAGCACTAGCAGAGTCTCACTTGGGGAGAGAACTTAGTTTTCTTTTCTGCCTTTAACTGTTGACCAAAGACAGAATCAGGGAAAGGAAGCGTGAGGAGATGGGAGTGAGATAGGGACCACATGTGAAGAGGATGGAAAAGAGATGGCACTGAACTGTGCTGAAAAAGCAGCTTCCATAAATGTGAAATCATCATGTGGGTATTTTCAACGTGCAGCTGTCAAATCCCAAGGTTGGATTATTTTTTAAGACTAGATGGTATTTATTGCTGTGTAAATTTTTTATTTATACTAGCTTTATACTTGTATGTATGAACATGTTATCTGAATTCTGCCTGAGGAAGGATGAAGGGTGACTTTCTGATGTGTTTTTAACTAAGGTGTTTTAGAAATGGTGACTGTTTATTTTGCAATGAAGGCTATATTTGAGGTTAAATATACACTTTCTGTTGAAAATGCAGTTCCTATAGAATTCTTTGTGGCCATTTACTAGCTTCTAAAGGGTCCTCCTTTTCTCTGGCAAGTAGTTTTGAGTGATGTGATTTATAGTAGCCAGGATTTTTTGTGAACTCATCACCTAAAATCTGATTTTTTTTCTTTACCAATATCCCACCAAGACAAGCCTTGTCTGAAAAGATGAAACCCTGGTGGCCACAGAGAAGAAAATGTATCATAATGAAAGGACTGCATGAACCTCCCATCTTCCACTCCTTAACAACTCAATTTTGTCAGAATTGTCACAATGTGGTAAATACTGTACTTTATATTTTTATTAAGCAAAAAAAAAAATCTTCCCAAATAATGTGAAAAGGGTTTTGTATTTGTGTTTCTTTAAGGCAGCTTTTATGGAGGAGCTATATTATGCTTTTGAAATTACTCCTTTCATAGAAAATTTGGAAAATAAACACTTTTATATTGTTGTAATTTCTCCCATAAATGTGTATGCACTTAAAATTTTCATAATAAAAATGTCTATCCAAATTAAATTTTTACTCCTAATTTTTTTCCGCACATACAAACAGCTACAAGTTCCACTCAGAAAAAACGTTCAGAGGTAGTTTAAGTAAATGTCCAGTTTCAAGGATGCTTCCATATAGCCCCAATGACTCAGACTCTGCAGTGAACCTGAGGCAAAGGGCCCATGGGTCTTGCAGGGAGAAGCAGCCCAGCAGATTGAAATGGGCCATCTTCAAAGGGAAACACTACCATTTGCTCCCTAAACAGAAACCCAAAATTTGATTTTACTCCTTTTCCCCAGACTTGTCCCTGCAGCATTTTGACTTCAGTGGAACTGAGAATTGTGAGCTGGTTTTGCTCCAGCAACAGGGACGTCATCATCATCTGTGCTGAGGAAGGGATAAAGGTTTCTCTGAAAAGCCTGAAGGGTGTCAGGGGATGCGTTTGATGAAAGAGATGTGAGAAACACTGTCCTTGGGGCTGCTTTCCCATGGCACAGCAGGGTCAATATTCAGTTTGGAGGTGAAGAATGGTTTTGGAGGCTTGTAGAACTGACCTGAGAATGTGGTGGTATAATCCTACCTTGGATAATGTTGTAGGAAATTTGCTACGTGTTTAAAACCATGAGTTGAAAACTGTCTTGTCACTGCCTTTCTCCCACCTCTGAGTTCTCAGGGCAAGGGGAAATATGTTTCCTGAGGTCACCCTGGCTTCTCCACACTGACCTCCTCCAACATGCCCATCCTCCTCCATCCATCCACAGCAACAACACAAGTGAATCCCAGCAGTATGTACAGCTCTGGCTGGAGCAAAGTTTAGGGATAGTTTAATATAACAGAGAAAGAGTACCTGAGCCTTACCAAGCTTCTTGCTCAATAAATATTTCTTGGCCAAATTGACGCAAGGCAAAAGACATGCAAAAAAAGAGGAAAAAGGAAACTTGTTTGACTGATGATCCCATTGCAAATCCAGCAATGATTTACTAAGAGACTATGAAAATCTCAGCAGGTAATTCTGAGTGCAGATGGTTAGTGAGAGATTCCCAGGGCACTGTGAAATGCATTGGGAGTAACTAGCTACAAGATTACACATTAAGCACAAACCCCATGTTCTGTGGAGCCCTTTGCCATGCCTCTCATCAGGTCTTTTCTCTTGAATGTGAAAGTTCTGGTTCTTACTTCCTCACTAAAGCATCACATCAGTGTATTCATAAACTGCCTAGGAATTGGAGGTGAAGCCACCTTATTAGCACATCTGGCTCTCTTCATAGGCAGCTTTCCAATATTAGCAAGCTGAAGGAAATCAGCTGCATTCATGGCCTCAGCCATCCTGACACTGATTATGGGCTGGATTTATTAGGTCCTGGCATGGTATAGGTCAGAAGACAACATGGTAAATGCCTCTGCTTTGTAGGACCAGCTGGGATGTTACCACTGAGGATGTTACCATGGATGCTACATGGTAAGGGTCACTCCTAGCTTCTAGTGAGCATTTGCCTGTTTTAAAAAGCTACTTGCTCTCAAGTCATCCCAAGAGTCCTTCAGACAAAACAAATATGCAGATTTGAGACTAGCAAAGGCAAAATTAAAAAAACAAAACCAAAAAACCCAAGGTCTAGAAGCTGAAGCCAGATAAACTCAAACTGAAAACAGATTTTTAAGTGTGGAACTGATTAGCCTTTGGAACACATTCCCCCAGAGAGGGGGGAGGGAAAGCCCTAATCCTTCCTATGCCTTCAGATCAGGGCTGAATGCCATTGTGTTGTTAGCCATACACAGCTCGCTGGGCTCTCAGGGGACATGGGGTGAAGTTCTCTTGCCTCTGTTACCAATAGTGTCAGACAAGATGAGCTAAGGATCTCTCTGGCCTCAGAAATACATATGCAGAAAACCTCAGTTCCAAGGGAGCATTCCTCACCTGGTCTGTGATTAATAACACCTGCATATCAGCCATCCCAGCTCCATTTCGACCAAGACTGAGGAGGACTCCTGCTGTTACACAGGAGACAGATTTGAGGTAAAAGGATTCTATTTCTGGTCACAAAGGTTGCCCTCCAGCTGCAGGGGCAGAGGCATGGCAGTGAGAGAAGTCTGCAGCCCCTTCCCAGGTCCATGCACTTTCCAACTCTGGGAGGGGAAGTTTTCTAACATGGTTCCCCCCTGGATCACGCTGCTCGCACTGATGATCTTGGAGGAACTTCTGAAGTTTCTTCTTTTATCCCTTTTGCCTCTTACCCTTATTTCTCATTTGTTCTCTCCCCTGGCTCTTTGGGGGACTTTCTCTTTCCTCTCAAACCTAGTTGTCCCATCCTAAGGGGCAAATCTTCCTGATTTAAAGCCATTCTCTGCCGGTTATCAGCACCTTCCTCCTGCTTCCTCATCCTTGGTTCTCTCAGGCTAGGACCAGTCATCCATTTCCAGTCTCTGAAAGGGGTGGAAGGACATTTCCCTTCTGTCCTTTGCAGTCACTGTATCAGAGCAGGATCCAGGGTCCTCTTGGAGAAAAGCTGCATGACTGCTGCTGCAGAGCTGTTTGTCTTTTATGCTCTGGGGCTCATTCCCATCTGTGAAGTCTGATCTATCTTCCCCTGCCTGCACCAGCAACACCCTTTGACACATTAGCCTGTCCTCAGCTCCCAGCTCCTCCTACAGCCAGCCATTCCTCATGGTAGCTGCTGAGGAAAAACAGCGACCTCTTATTGCTGCCTTCCCACTTACTGCCAGCAAATAGAGCCGAACCCTGACACACTGGCTTTGTGAGCTGGTAGAACCAGGGTAGTGCTTTAGGCTTTCAGCAAACCCAAGTCAGGCCACCGTGGCTGGAACGGAAGGTGAAGTCTAGCACACTGTTGAGAGGTGGAAGAGCACAACCTAAGAACAGAAGGACAGAGGTTTAAAATGCTGCTGTAGCTAACTGAAACCTCCAAAACATGTGTGATTCTTCCATCCCAAAGATCAACAATCAATTCCAGCTGCCTAGTATGCCATGTGATTTATTGCAGTGCTTGGAAGAAGACTTTGGCTGTCGTGAAACATGTTTGTACCTTGCCTGTAAAAACAGCAAATCTGAAGAGAAGACTCTCTGGATGTGATTCAGAGTGCGTAACAAAACAGAGATCACCAAGTCCTTCCACTTGAAGTACCACACCAACACATAAAGCCAATGTA